CAGATTTCATCCGTTTGAGCTGAAATTTTTACTGCGGGTAGACGAACCCAATCGGGGTGGGTGTTTTTTTTTTTTTCAAAAATTCCAAATACTTCAGACTGGAGAACCAAAATACTGAGCACTTCGCAAAATCTCTAGGGTTTTTGGATCCTACAAATTTTGCGAAGCCTGCCAAACTTGATTGGTACAAGGTATCCAAAAAAAAAACACTCAACCCAAATCACTTGAAGTCTCATCAAAACAATTCTCAGCCCGATCGGACTTGAGATGGCGGAGAACAAGGAGGAAAACTGGTTTTTGATACCCAAAAACCTAGTTTCGAGAAAAATGCAAAATAAAAAAAACTTGTCGAAGAATTTTTTTTTCTGCTTATACGTAAGTATAGGTATACCATATCATAATATAACTTTATGTAAAAAAAAAAAAATTTTTTTTTTAATGCATAGGTCTCAAAAAACCTGGTTTTTCAGAGACTTCCCGACCTTTGATGGTTCTGATTTTAATAGCACACATAGAGAGAACCTTGATACACCTGTGGACGAAAAAAATTTTTTTGGCTCAGGAAGGGGGTCCCCTTAAGACTGTTATACTGTTTTATACGGATGCAATTTTAGATTCTATCAGAAAATGTACTGATACTTGTTAGATTTTATCCTAGAAGACGAATCAAAATATATATTCGGGACTATCAAAACTTTATAGTTGATTTCTGTATGTAGAAAAAGGATATTAAGTGTCGTGAAGTGACACTTTTTTTTGCTCGCTTTAACACTTTATATACTAAAATGATCATAAAGAATTCCTGGAAGCGAATTTCAAACTACTCTGAGTTCTGTAACTCTTGTAGTGAGGATTATTCATTCCTGAAAATTTTAGCCCAAATAGAGTATTCTATATGGTAAATCTGTAGTGAGAATACTCTTAAGTCTTTTATACTATATTAAAATCAACGTACTAGAAGATCATCTTTTCGAAGAATTCGACAATTTTCAAGATTATTCGTATCAATATTTATATCATTTGTATCATTATTATTTTTCGATGGAAATTTTACAAGTACAAGTGATCCATCAATTTTCATAACTTTTCCAATAGGTGCTACACGACAATCTTCAATAAAAATAACTTCATCTAATGGCCAATATTCTTCATCTTTAATTTTACTATGTGCTTGTTGTTCATTTAAATCATTATCATTAATTATTGGTAAAAATGGATTTGTTCCTGTTGTTGAATTCGTATGTTGTTTTTTACGTTTTAATGATGATGCAAAACTTGTATTTGAATCAACACTACATGTTGATGATGCTGGTGATGGTGGTGGAGGCATTTCTAATGAACTTTTATCATCATTTTCAATTTTTATTTTATTTGTTATAAATTCATATGTTTTTATACGAAAACGTGCTGTATTTGATAATATCCATGCTTGTTCCATTAATTGTCCTAATTTAGGTTGTCCATCACGTATATAAAAAGCCCAAGCACCTTGATTATAATATGGATTTGATATTAAACAAACAGAACAACCAACTGTTATTATTTGTTGTTGTGTATTTGTACGATTTTTATGACGTGTTTTATCTTTTAAACGTTCAAGTAATTTTTGACGTGGTTTATGTGGTAATAAACCATACCAATATAAATCATTTGTATCTGTACGAAATATTGTATATAATGGTGATGTTTGTATATCAATAATACGTATAGATAAAAATTCTTGTAATGAATGTTGAAATTTAAGATTAACTTGTGTACCTAATGATTCATCAATCCATGTTGCTATACGATTTGTTTCAGTTAATATTGATGCACGAATAAGATTAGCTGAAAGATTAATAATTTTTTCATTAAATAATTGTAATATTAATGTTTTTGGATGTTTTATTTGTGAATTATCATAATCTTGATATGGATAATCATCATGCCAATTCCATTGACATAATTGTCCATTTGTATTTATAGCAATTAATTCTGAATAAAGACACGCTATATGTGTAAAGCGTGGATAGATATTATCAGAATTAGTATCAGTCCAAAATTGTAATTGATCACCGAATATAATTGGATTTTGTGATGATGTTAAATTTGTTGTTGCTGTTGAAACTGATGCCGGTGCAGAATGATGATGTTGATGTTGTTGAGATTGTATTGTTTGATCTTTTCGAATAGATGTATTTGTTTTAGTAGCTGAATCTTTAACGATTGATAAATCATCGGGTTTTAATTCACGATCGATACGACCGAAGAGTTCTTCACGTAATGAACCATCAAGCCAACGTGGATCATAACGATTTCGTTTACGATCACGATCATTAGATGTTGTTGAAGATGTAACTACAGTAGAAGAATTTACTGTTGAAGGATTTGTAGTTGTTGTTGATTGTTCACCAACAGTAGAATTTATTGTAGATGAAGATGATGCATTATTTACTAGAATAAAATGAAGATTATTGCTGATAGATATAATTTATATTGTCAAACTGAATGTCGAATTTGTAGGCAAAGATTTCTTTTATCTAATTAGATTTATATTATGAAGTTCTATTTAATATTGCTAAAAAAGTTAATAGATGGCGCCAACTTCGTCGTATCTACTGTTGCATTCGTGAAAAGGTGTCTCCCTCTATTGACATTTCAGTAATACATTATAGAACTTAACCATGCATGCAATATTAGATAGAGGAAGTCTTCCTTTATTAAACAACATATTTCTCTTTGTGGGATCAAAGATCAAGGTAGAACATATTCATGCCCACATCCTTTCACTTAATGAATAATATCCATATTTAGAGAACATTTAATCAATACATAAAGCTTATGTAGAATTTTTAGTTTGATGATATTGTCTGCTTATCGATAGAAAGAAAACTTATGGAAATAGATAGTGAAAAAGCTATAATAGCAAGTCAGAAGTCTCACTCCATTAATGTGGTAGTTAAAAAACAGATGTAGCTAATCGAGGGTTTGACTTAACTGTTATATAGTTCGAAAAGTAAAGAATGGCTCGTGTCTGTTTAACAGCTGGTCTGATTGATAATGGCTGTAACTCCCGTCCTATCAACACCATGTTTTTTTCTGCACAATAGTGAAAAAATTGATTGCTGAAACCATGTAGAATCCGTATTGTAGTAGAGACACAGATTTGCATTAAACATTGCGTAATTTATTTATTTTTTGTATTTCAATGCATGAATTTATATAAATTTTTAGAAAAAATCTTATATTTCAGTCGAAAACACGCTCAAGCTGTTCCTACATCGACTAGCAGCGTAGTCAGAATTTTTAGACCCCAATGGGAAAAATAGACAAGATTTTCCTTAATAGACCAAAAGTTTTTTTGACCCAACAAAGTACTGATAACGTAGAAAAATATAAAATATAATGAAATGAAGTTTTTTTAATCAAATATGCATTTAACTCCGATCTTCAATATGAGTCAGATGTATTTGAGTCTATTTTTAATGTCTCCTGTTTATAACATTTATATTTCAAAATTTAAACACTAAAATTCCTACGAACTAGGTCATTTCACATCTTGTTTTTTTTTTCTTTCTCTTGTATGCGTCACTCTCTCTCTCTATATATATCTACACATATATATATGTTCGTGTGTTTTCTTGTTTCTCTTCTCTTTAAGGCCCCCCTTCCCCTCAAAAAAAGTCAATTTTCGTCAAAAAAGTCGAAATGGAGATAAATGTATGGGAAGATAGTCCGTGATCTGCTCTTTCATAACTGATAAAAAGTTTTCGTCGATACCTCCTTTTTGTCCAAAATTTTCGTCAACCCCTATTCGAAAAACCAACTGTTTTTTGAAAAACTAAAAAATGTTTTTCGTTTTTTCTCGGTTTATGACTTTTTGATCTTTTGTCCAAGATTTCTCGGTCCAGGCTCTTTCAATATATTTAAATTTTTTTTTGTTTGAAAGAGCATATCCAGGTGCAGAGTATCACAGAGTCCTTTTTTTAATTAAGCTTTATTTTTTATTATATATACAGACATTTATGTAACTAGACACCCATTTTTGGCGCTTTTTTTGAGTCATTGGACTTGTGATCCCCTTTTCCGCTAAAAAAGTAAGAATTTAAAAAAAACAACTCTGTGGTGCCCTGCATTCTGACATGCTCTTTCTAATAAAAAAAAAATTAAACACATAGCATGAGCCTGGACCGAGAAATCTTGGACAGAAAATGAACTATTTTTGACCCTTGTTTGGTTCATATCTCTGTCAAACGTCATCGTATCGAGCTGAAAATTTTACCATAGCCTCCTCACTTCAGCCCCAACATACACTCCAAATTTCAGCCCATTTGAACATATCTGGGCTGAGATCAATTTTTGAGGGGGACGAGGGCCTTAACCTATCTTCAGGTGATTTAGTATGTTTTCAATAAAACTGAACTCACATTCACTCAAACTTATAATTAAGATACAAGAAGCAATTCTTTTCGTAATTCTTTACCGAGAGAACAAACAAAGAGTGCATGTATGATATAGATGGAAGAAAAAAACATACATCTACAGTCTAATTCAAAAATAAATAAACAATTCTGAAAAAGTATGACACTATTTTTTAAAATCGTTCAAATCATCAGTTTTGATTAAGAAAAAAATAACGACATAAAATATCTCAAATAATAAATACATACCATTATTAGCAATTCTCGCTGAAACAACTCGACGTTGAATATTACTATATCGTAAAGCAAAATCGGATTCATCAAAAAATTCTGATTCAAGTATAATTCCCGGATGTTCAGGATGTGGATTAACATCAAGTAATGAAATGAGATCAGCTAAAAAAAAAATAAAATCAAAATAAAACTTATTCATAAAAACAAACAAACAATTTTTACCTCCAACATAATCATCATCAAAATCTTCATCACCTTCATTATCACGTGCAAGTAAATTATTTACAGCCATATTAACATCTAAATTCTATTCATAAAATAAAAAAAAAAAAAAAAGTTAATAAGTTTTAATTTTTTGTTTGTTTTTATTAAATTCAACTTACTGTTCTTTGTAATTCTCGTAAAATAATATTTCGTGATTTTCCTTGAAGAACAACTTGAACCTTAAAATAAAACAAAAACAAAATGTATATATCTTGTTATTTTATATTTTACTTGTTCAATTAATTCTTCGGGTACACTTGATGCCGGAATTAATGGTCGTGGACCAAATATAATACCAGTTCGTCCACGTGCTGTACGAATTAAATGATGTCGTTGTCGATTTAATGGATAACCGCTAGCTTGTAATTGTGGTAATAAATCAATTTGTCCATTTGCATTTGTTATAGGAGCAATAGATGATGTTGATGATGATAAAACAAGATTTTCAAATGTTGGTCGATCAAAATTATTTAAACGATGAATTGATTGACGTGATTGTGAACGAGTTATTTGAGAAGGCACATGTTTAACTTTTGTTTTTGTTGTATCCGTTGGATTTAAATCAATTTTATCAGCTTGTATACGAAATGATATTCGACAAATTCGACCATCCTAAAAAAATGAATGATTAAAAATAAAACGAACTATATTGGTTGAGGCAATCTATTCCGAATTGTAAAACTCAATATGTCATGTTGTAGAGTAAGTCAAAGTGTATACTTATAGTATAATTATTGTAATTCTTGGTATCAGTTGAAAAATGTTGATAAGAAATTTTTCTCATATCCAGTTTTATAGATTAATAATTGCTTTTCGCTAAAAGTGAGTGCTCGTGTCTTTACTAGTGTTGGCCATAGAAGATGTGACTAGATGCCAAAATTTCTCAGAAATCGTTTGCAAATACTATTTATAAGTTCTTCAAGATGAGTATTTAAAGCCCAAAATAGTTTTTCATTGAGAAATCTTCACCAGTTGTCTTCTTGTAATACTGTATTTTAATTCTCAAAAGTCGATTTCATGGCAAAATAGCTGAACGATGGTCGAATTTTTGACTACACTGTTAACTGATACCAAGGACTATAAGGGGCTGTTCACTTTGTTGAATTTTGGACCCCTCCCCCCTTTTGTCATCACTTGTCATTTTTCCACGACCCCCTCCCCCCTGATGACGCCATCTTTTTGTGCCGGTCCCTCTCAAGGGGGGGGGGGGGTAGCTTTCGAGATTTTCCCTCTTTCATCAAAAGTTTTAACCAATATCAAGGCGGGGGGGGGGTAGTTTTCAGAGATTTTCCACGTACATATATGTTGACGTCATCAGTCAACCAAACGCCCTCCCCCCCCCCTCTAGTGATGACGTCATATGTGACCAGCCCCTAAGGATCATTTTGGTGGATACATGCCTTGACTTACTCTACCCAATGATATATTTCGTTTCTTAATTCGGAACAAATCATCTAATCCGATAGGGTCATTTTTTCAATAGAATAAAAATTTTACTTGAAGTAAAAAAGCGATATGTCTTGATGAAACTACTGCTTGTTGTACAGCAAGATTTGTAAATGGAGCAAATACATTCGAACATATACAACCATTTGTTGTTATTTGATCTGATATATCTTGAAGTCTATGAAATAAATAAAAATTTAAGTATCGATTAAAGAATAAGAAAAACACTAATTTTACTTCGATTCAAAATTTTGTTCTGTAATAGGTGATTGTTGAATGAATACATGCGTTGAATATTCCATAAAATAAAAAAACAAATGATTTATCTGAAATAAAAATATTTTTGTTTTTATTATTTTATATTTATATATAATAATATTTAAGAAAAATTATTAAAAAAAAAAAACTATTCGGGAAAAATTTTAATATGAATATCAAGTTCAAAATTATGTGATGCAAACAATTCATCATTATTATCAGTGAATGATGTAAATGAACCACGTTCATTGATTGTCATTGCTGGAAGATTTATTTCACGAGACTAAAATAATAATTGAAAAAAAAAATCATGTTAAATCTTCAAAATTAAATAAAAATGAATTCGATAAAAAGAAACATTTTATTCCATCTCAATCAATCGTAGAAAATATAATATTCACTAAAAGTCTCATTCTTCGGTAAAAACTAACTGAATTTTAATTCTTTAGTTTCACTACAAATAGAGTATGTTGAACTCTAATCGCAAGAACTAATTGATCGATTTTCATGCAGAGGAACTTTCTTCAAATGAGAATATCTTCACACGAAAAAGAAATTTCATGACATTAGATATCTTATTCGACAGCTCGATACTGTCTCTATCAGTCATAAGGAAAACTATAGTACTTTGTTGAAAATGGTCATAACTCAGAAGAACAAATCCATGAACATGAATTCTTTTAGACTTTATCTAACTTTAATAGAACCTATCTAATGAATTAAGACTTATCTTGCAAAAGTGAATTGTCATTTGGTGAGTCTCTCTCTCTCTTTAGTCATTCGAAAAATGTTTTATAATCAAAAAAACTCTTAACTCAACATTTAATATTAACCAATATGATTAATTTCGATGAAAGAGGAATCTCTAATTGAATATTCATGCAAAAAATAATCAATTCATTTTTACTATTTGTCTATTAAGTGACATTTGATTTGCTGTCAATGCTGCTTTTTTAGCCATTTGTTCTTCCTAAAATATAGGAAAATATAAATATTTATTGTTTTAGTTTTAATTTTTCTTTACTAATAAACGTTCTTCTTCAAGTTTTTTCTTCGCTTTTTCTTTTTCAGCTTCACGTAAGTGTAATTCTCGAATCAATTCGTCTTTAGTTGTTGCAGCCTGAAAAAATAAAATAATTTATTATGTAAATTTTTTTTTTTCTTCAATATTAATATAAACTTTTGAAACAAGAATTGGTGCACATCGACGACGTGTAAATGGATCAGCTTGTATATTTCGATGTTCTTGAGCTTCACGCTATAAAATAATATTAATCTGCAGATTGATACGATTAATGTTAAAATATTTATTTACAGTTAAAGCATTTTCAACATTTTGTTGCGTTTTTTTTCGATTTCGTCGATTGATTTGACTGAACAAAAAAAAAAGAGAGAGACATAAGATAAAATTACAATTTAAATGAATTAGATTGTAAACCCTTCCGGATAACAGAAAATCCCTATTCAAGGAACAATACGCCAGATATAATAGAAGACTCTCCTTCACTATTAATAACTATCGAGATAATACCTACAGTTTTTTCAATACGGTAAGATCATCAAGAAGAATTCGGCAATGAGATAGACAATCAAAAGACTGAGTTCAACATTATATCAAGTCTTTTAAAAGGTTGAAAATCTTTTGAGTCTTTTTGGAAAATTCTTTTAATTAAAAATTATTAAAATAAATAAGACACAGTAGAAGATTCAAAATCTTCTATTACAGAAAAGAATTTATTTCATATTTGAAAACTTCGAATTTTATGATTATAGTTACTTACGCTAAAATTGAATTATTTGCAGTTCGTATTCGATCGATTTCAGAAGCACGTTCTTCCATTTCATTTAATTTTTTTCTTAATTCTTTTTCTGTTTTAGTATCATTTTCATCCACTGCTATTTCCTAAATATATTAATAAATATTTAAATAATAAAAAAAAGAAATGTCGTTTTTTTTCTCTATTGAAATTTTTTTTACTATTTCTTTAAATAATTCTTGTTTCGTCATTGCATAATTAATTGGTGCTTTTCGAAAGCGTTTTTTTTCTTCGACAATTTTTGTTATTTCTCTATTACTATAGACATAATGTTTAAATTTATTAATTGCTTTTCTTTTATCTTCAACTTGTTCTAATGTTGGTAAAGGAATATTCTAAAAAAAAGAAATTAATTGTTTATTTTAAATGATTCTTTTCTTTTTAAATATTTACCTGTTTAAGTGATGTTTCACGCCAACGCTTAAATTCTGCATCGGATGTTTCACTATTTGAAACAAATTCAAGACGAAATACACGTTCATTATGTCCATGTCTAAAAGAGAAAAGAAAAACAAATCATAATTTTCAATGATTTATTGATTTTTTTTTTAATACTTTAAACGAAGTCCTTTATTTGTACGTGTTGGACCAAGATTATATATTTTACCTGTTTCAACAACATCACGAATTTCACAAAGCTTAACAAAAAGAAAACATTTATTGATAAGTTAATGAAAAAATTTTAACTAATCTTACGCGATAAACCGGTTTACCATTATTTTGTCCAATATTAATTCTAACAAAAGCACCTTTTACTACATTAGCAAAAAATGGTGCATGACACCATCTAAATATTAAATCTTAAAATTATTCTTTCGAAATAAAAACAATAGTTTACTTTTCCATTCGAAAACGAGATAAAATCATTGGTTTTAATTCAGCCTTTGTTGTTATACGTGTTAGTTTTTTGTTTTTAGATTCTTGTTTTTGAAAATCTTTTTTTTTATCTTTAGGTGATCTGAAGAAAAATAATTTAATTCATAAAAGTTTTTCTTTTTTTTTTTTTTTGTTTTAACTAAACCTAGATCTTTCACGATGATCATCTTCTTCATCGGAACTTGATGATGAATAAACTTGATCTACCTGTAATTTTTCTGTTTGCTTTGGTCTGACTGATTTTTGTTTAGTTTCATCATCACTAGATGAAAGATCATCGAGTTTTGGAAGAGATTTTTTTATTTTTTCATCTACAATACATAGATATATATATAATCAAATTTTAAGAATGTTGTTCAAAATTTTGCAAATTACCTTGTTTTTTCTTTCGTTCTTCAATTAAAGCTTGCAATGATTTACTGTGTTGTGTTTCTTTTAGTTTTGATGCATTAACTTGTTTTCGACTATTAGCTGATAAATAATAGTCATCATCATCATCATCATCTGCATATATATTATTATCAAATAAAGTTGATTTTGTTTTTGTTTCATTATCATTATCATTATCATCATGATTTGTTATTTTCGATTTAAGTTTTTTACTTATTTCTTCACTAGAAAAACAAAAAAAAAAAAGAACTCAAGAACTATATATAGATCTATTGAATGTATAAAATCAGTTTTTTATTTTACCGATGTTTTAATATTTCACGTTGTTCATGTCTTTTTAATAATTCTGCTTCACGTTCACGTTCCGATAAAGTTTGTAACCATACACGATCTGCAGCATCACCAAAATATTTATCATCATAACCATCAACATCAATTTCTATAAACAAATATAATATATCTATATATATATGAAAATATAATATTATACTTGTTGAATCTATTTGATCATCATCGGAACTTAAACTACTGTCTTGTCGATGTCGTTTTTTTTGCTCGGATTTATTCATTGTGAAAACTTGTAGATGAAAATCTACAATATAATTATACTCTTTTTTTCACAACCCCCGTTATTATTCTTTTTCCATATATATTCATATTAACTAGATCGATTATCCAATGAAATTCTTAAGGAAAGATGGCGCTACAATAAGAATGTAAATTTTAAGTAAAATCACACGTGTTAGGGAATTTTCTCTCTTTAGCTAATTAATATGTAGAAAACATACAATCAAAATATTATGTGTCTAATAATATTTCCCAACAATCGAATGGCCGTTTTGCTCTTGATGGTTTATGAAAGTTGTATCTATTCTGAATGGTATTGCAAAATTCTTAGAAATCTTTTAATTACGTATTTGAGAAAAAGCATAAGAGATTGAAATGTCTATCATCAAGTAACGAATAAAGAATTTTTACAAACTAATATTTCATGTTATTTCGATAATAATATTTCGAAGATTAACAAATTTTACTCATAAAAATTTCATCGTATCTAGGTTTAATACCATGCTTTACCCATAACTTATTTTATATATTTTTGTGAGTCTTCTGATTTATTTATTGATATCATTTAATATATATTCGATGTGATATTCAGTTATTTTTTTATTTCTGATAATGCTGTTATAAATTTCAAAATGATATCTAAAATCAAAATATTGAGAGCATGAATGTAAATACTCAAATATCTTCTCTATGATTAGAAGGGTAAGCCGAAGGGTCGAACGATGGCGACAGACAAAAATTTTCATTTTTTGACAATTTCCTGGGGCTATCGATTCGATTTTTCAGGCTCCTTAGCAGCGGTGAGCGTGGGTTAGGGAACTGCAAAGTGGTCCCGGTCAGTCTTTTATGCAATGTGTCGCCAATTATCTTATTTTTTTGACAATAGTAATGGCGATTCAGTATAAATAATCAATTCGATAATAAATCCATTAGATAGAACAGTAGATATAAAAGAAGAGAGAAATGAGTAAATGACTACTACGAAGTACATGAGAATTTTTAATAAAATTCAATGGTTATTTTTTATTTATTCGAGTTTTCAATGAAATTCTTTCACTTTAATACTGGATATAATAGAATTCTCGCACTGTTAACGAATCAAAATCATTCATGTCAATTTTATGTATTTATAAAAGTACATAGATCTTAAAAACAAATTGTTCGATTTTAGGAATGAAGCTAATGTCAAAGACCGGGACCGGGACCGGGACTAAAAAAAGTGATTTTGCAGTTCCTTAGCGTGGGTGTGGTACTCGGTATTCGCTTCATTGCATCCCAACGCAGATCCACACCCCAAAATAAAGAGCAATCTTATAAAAGAGATCGATTGTTTATCACTCATATGATTTCGTTTATCGTTAATTGTCTCATCTTACGTGAAAAAAAGTGACCATTTCCTATTTTTATGAGTTTGATTATTTTAGAAGTCAACAAATACTGAGAACATGTAATATTGTATTGTTATAATAGTTTTTGTTTTTATGTATTATGAAGCCATTTTGGTGTCTCTTAATTTACTTTTAATATTTTTTACATAGATAATTATACTTACTTAACTAAGTGTTTCGACTGGACATTCGTACTTAATAGTTATCATTGTTTCCCTTTTTTTTCTACACGAGTTAAATAAAAGGAAGATGAAATTGCATAAAAATATAGACAACAAAAGTAAATTCAACATCTTACAACGATAAAAAAATGGTTAAATTACATTGAAGTATACATGTGTGATAGTAAGTATTATCCAGCTACCTAATCATGTCGTACTACTTAGTCATGGTTTCCGTTCAATACTCATGTAAAACTTCTTCCTGAATCATATGTATGTCTTTGAAAGATTTGTCAAAAATGATTTCTATTACAGACAGATTGAAGACTTAAGATACATAAGAACGGTCCAGCACCACTCCTAACGAGGAAACCGTTCGAAGTGATTCATCGCTTTTTGACTTCATATTTTGTCCATAAGTAGACGACTTGTAGACTAGAAAAATTCTAAGAGGATATGGGCCCATGTTGCAATTTAGCTGAGATATATTGATTTTACGGAAATATTCCTATACGACTCTAATTTTCTAATAAAATCATTTTTTCGGCTGTTGATCTGAAACTTAGTTCATATAAAACGTCTTAACTGGAGTAGCTTGTATGAAAAAATTTAGAACGGCTTTGAACATAACATCGCTGAGGTATGACTCATGTTTAGTATAATGTCTACGAAGAAGCGCCTATATTTTGAAATATTCATATCTCGACGATACAAAGTTTAAAGATTCTAAAATTTTTCATACAAACTACTCTAGTTGAGACGTTGATATGGATTAAGTTTTAGATCAACATTCGACAAAAATGATTTTATTAGAAAATTAGAGTCCTATAGGGATATTTTCATAAAACCAATATATCTCAGCTAAATTGCAACATGGGCCCATATTCTCTTAGAATTTTTCTAGTCTACAACTCATCTACTTATAGGCAAAATATGGACTGAAAAGCAATGAATCACTTCGAACATTTCCCTCGTAAGTATAATTGAACTGAGCATTAAGTCAATGTAAATATAGTTGAAGTTAAATCATTATATAGGATATTGAACGTAAATTATTATCATTCAACGACAGAACGGTCAAATCTCTTGATTTAAACAGAACAATTCTAGTTTTCAAATTTCTTTTGTTATTCTTTGCTTTTTTTAAATACTAATACCTTGATTTAAATGAACTTTTAAATTACAAAAAAAAATTCTTTGCATATAATTAATATAACGCCAAAAGGTGAAATACGATCATACTTCTTTAATAATAGTTACGAACCTTCTCGTCAGATCTGTCAAATTCTTTAAGGGAAAGGAAGTAAAAAAAATCTAAGTTTCATTGTATATATTTCAATATCTTTTTCCATTGGTGTTTCATATAAGCAAGAATGTAGCCGGAGGGATACCCGGGCACTCTCCTTAGAGAAAAAATGTCTGCAAAGGAGTACAGAGCCAAAAGCCTATTCACATGGTGAAATATTTTCTCTGCTGGTTGGCACTTCTCTTAGAAAATTTCTGGCTACACCCCTGATCTTCACCCACACCCTTTATCATAAAGAGTAGTTTGTCCTCTGTTGTCAAAATTGGCGTCGTACGGATGAATTTGAAATTTATTTCAGATTGAATGTAAAAGCTTTCGCATGTCGTATTGATGAACCATTTCAGATTATTCTGGTCCACTTTTTTCCGTCATATAATAGGCGCTCCATTGTAGGCTTTTCCATCATTGAGTGTGTAAATAGCTATTACACAAGACGTTTCAAGTATGAATATTCTGTCCGAAGTTCTCTGTGGCAATATAATTTAGAATGTGCACAGATCTTATCTACAATAGCATCATCCTTCCGATGTGCACTATAAGAATACTTTCGTAAAATTTAGCAGCGATTGATTAATGAAATCATGAACGAAATAATTCGAAGGCATATGTGTATGAGAACCTCCTGCACACCGACACTCATCTATTCAATTAATGATGGAGTCTTTTTAATTACAAGAACAAATATTTTCAGCTCTCTTTCGTTATCACATTGACTATTATGCGTAAATATTA